AAAAGCATCCGCAGTCGTTAGTTGGTATCGTGGAACAAGTGCGACAGGCACGGGCATCGTAATGGAGCCCATTCCGGTAGAGACGGTCGACACAGAGCTGTTGTCGCTGGATTGCTCCGGAGAGTTAATCTGTAATTCAGCAGTCTTGGGTATAATAGTCCGCGGCGACACTCCTGGCGTAGACTCTTCGTCGACTGACTTTGGCTCCGATGATGCTCGTGAAGGCTTCACGAAGCTAACTATTTCGTCAGAGATGCGGTGCCAGGAGGAGATGATGTTGAGATAATCGACAGTTGCGTCACCCATTTGCTCGGATTCGGAATAGCTCTCACGAGACCGAATCTCGGGTCCCCCGAAGACTCGGGTGAGATATCTGCCCTCCTTCTGTAATGTGTTGTTCAAAAATTCGACCATCATTTTGACAAGAACTGGATCTTGTCCATCCACAGCAATCACAGCCCCGCGTCGGAACGAAGATCCGTCATGGTATGCTGGTGTTAAGGGCGGTGAGATCTTAGCCAGAACCTTTATCTTGTTGAGAAATGGGATTGTCATGACCGTCGCTTCAATGCTAGGCCCATCATGCGAATAAGGAGTCGTCGGGGTGAGAGTCCCGGGAACATGAGCAGCTGTTTGTAGCGGTGGAAGTTTCAGGCTGGGATCCGGCGGGGTATACTCCTTGACATTTCGGCCGGGCCGTGGCTGCTGTAGCGGCTGGTATAGACCTCGTGAGTCTGCTACGGCCGAGCGAGGTGTGTATGGGGATGCAGGATATGAAGAATCCGGGCTTCTTTCACGGATGTCATAAGGGCCAAGCGGTCCCAACCGCCTGCGCTTACTATCTGGTGATCGGCTTCTGCTTTCCACAAAGTGCTGGCGAGGCATGCGTGATTCCCCATTCCCATTAGGGATGAGCTTGATGACATTAGGAGCACGGTCCAGGTCTTTGGCTCGACACTGGCTACTGCGTGCAGAAAATACTTCACCGGGTGCTGCTTTTCCACCGAAGAAGGAAGCCCTGGGTGTATAAGGAGTCTCTGGTGATACTGGAGGGTTCATCACACGGCCTCCACATCGGCTGCAGACTGTAGAGCCTGGAGGGTTATGGCTGATGCCAGATGCTCCGCTTCGGAGATTCCCATCCCGACCGTAGCGACGAGGTTGATAGCGATACTCTGGGTATTGTTGTTGATGCCGAGCTTTCTCCTCCTGTCAAGGGTTAGGTGGCTTGAGAGTCTCATAGCAATAATGTGCTTACCTCTGCCAGCGCTTTCCATTCATCCTTTGTCTCTTGTGGTAGTCCTCTCCATTGCTCCCCAATAATTTTGGAGATTTCAGGATTGGCAAGGCCTGGATTCTGCGCGACCACTGCAGCCTGGTAATGTTGGCGGTATAGGATGAATGCTTTTACCTGTTTGTCAGCTCAAGAAGCAAATTGAGTAGATTTCAGATTGCATACCATTCCGGGGCCTAGGGATCTTCGGATCCGGCTGACAGAGGCAGAACTGTGTTGCCGACTCCCTTGGGGTGGGAGTATTCGACGTCTTGATTGGACTAGATGACGACGACCGTTCCGACAAAGACGAGCGTTCACGAAGAGGAATAGCCTTGGTAGGTAGAAGATTCGCGGACTTCGGGACCTCAATAGCAGAGGCAGCGTTGGAGGCGACTTTGTTGAGAGCTACCTTGCTTCGATTCAGAGTGGTCAGATGCACCGGAGGCAGTGTGTCAGTGAATCGACGATGACCACTCAAAGCAGCAGTGTCTAGATGACGGTCCATCATGGACACTTTCGCGACGTCGTCATTCATGATCTTATGCTCGAGAAGGTTACTAGTAGGCCGTGACAGGGGAAGATGGTGAGAGCTGTCATGGTGTAGAAGAGGAGGCTTGGGTAGAACGCGATCGTAAGACATGACATTTATTTTATGGAGTAAAGAGCAAAGGGCTTTTTGGGGGGACAGAGAAGTGGATGAACCAGCAGACTGAAAGGAAATGGCGGGCAATGAATAATGAAAGTCTGCGAGATGGTGGGTGAGAAATCGAGGTTATAGAGAGAGCCGTGGCCCTTGAATGGGCGGACGCTGCACAAGTGGATGAAAGAAAGAAAGCCCCAATATAAGGTTATAGTTATAGTCAACGAGACGAATGAGTTTCTCCTCGTGCTGCACCGGGTATTTCCAAACTGGCTGTTGTTAATACTTTCTTTTCTTTTCTTTCTTTTTCCAATCGAGTGGCCGTCTCTGTTGGTGTCTTTTGGCGTGGAATATTTTATTTTTTTCAGTTCAGGGTCGAATGATAATAATTAGGAAGAAAAGATGATAATAATAATAATAAGAATGCTGATAATAATATTCAGCTGAATTATTATTTGGAGGCGTCAGGGGTGTCCTCACTGCTGGTAATTTTCTTTTCTTTTTCTGCCTTCCTTTTGCTGCCTCCTCGTTCTTTGACAATGAAATGATATTTCCATTCAGGCCGAGCCAACCAAGCCGAGGGGACGCCAGTGAGATAAAGCCAGGATTTGGCTTTTCAAGTGCTTTGTTATGGGGAGCTATCTTTGGGGCCCTTCGGTCTGGCGCCCCTCCCTTTGACTACGACTAAAAAATCCCGGGCTTTTTAGTTTCTTTGTCCCTGTCAGGATGACCCGAGTCCTTCGTTCGGTTGGGAGGGGACATTATCCCCACCAGAGACAGCTGTTCGGAGAGTTGTGATGGAACCTCAAAGTGAGGAAACCTCCCGGGTTGGGAAGGACGTATCATCATGGTACCTTTCATCGGGTGGTGCGGTGTTGTACTGGGGCGGAGGAAGAGAGGTACCTTGACTTGACTCTACTACTTAGTACTTACTTGTCCCTGGATGAACCCCCCAACCAAAGGTACCCAAGGACTGGAAGAGCAAGAGAGAGCCAGAGGGCGAGAGAAACAAAGTGGGCACTTGGGGAGGTAGTAGCAGAAAAGCAACAACCTGAATGTGAACCTCTTCTTCTTTTTTTTTACCAGGTGAGTCAGCAGTAGGGACAAGAAATGGGCCCTTCCAGAGCTCATTCTGGATGATTGATTGCCTTTTTGTTTTGGGGCATCATTTAATATGTTTGGGCAGTTCGATAATAATACACATTTTAGTAAGTCATAGCTACCCGGAAAGCTACTACTGTAGTTAAACCTGGGGACCTAAGTACTTACCTAGTTAGTTGTTTTACCTTTTTACTTTCTGCCCTTTCCCCCCTCTCAATACTCTCCCTAGTCAAGAAAGGCTACCACACTAATCGACTAGTTGCTTAGAGATTGCTATACAGGTTTATTGTTTCAATCCTGGAGCCATTTTAGCTTTCCTTTGTCTGTTCGGCGTCCGCATGCGGTGTGCTGCAGTGATCTGGGACCAATTAGCGATCCACAGAGCCCGACCGGGCCTGGCAATTGGCCCACCGCCAATGTGACACATGCGCAAATGGATTTGATTGTCTTCCAATCCGTCTAATTTCTCGCCAGCATCATCCTGCTTGCTTTGCTTTACCACGGTCTGGCACGCACACCACTAGCCTTCTACAGTAGTAGTACCCTACTCGGCTGCCTAGGTGGTACTTTGAAGGTACTTGTTGTTTGCTGCTGGCTGCTTGCTATTTGCTTGCTCCCTCGCAAGTATCGTTTGGTTACTACTTGCTACCTACCTACCTACCTACCTATTTGAACTAACTGAACGTGCTTGATTTGCTTGCTTGGCTCTCTAAGGTAGTAGTTCCTGGAAGTTTGATACCCACTAATCTACACTGGGTACTGAACTCCGTCGTTCCCCATTCCTCCCTACTTGCTTGGACCATCAATTAAAAAGGAAAACAGCGATCGTGGCCATGGCTACTATGGTGTAATACATACATTCCAGGTGGCGGTATCAGAATTCCGCCATCTCCACCTCCACCTCTTCCCTCCTCCATCTAAAGCAAAGGTACGTTTTATCCAGGACAGCTCCTGGCTAATGACAGAACTTCCCGAGGCTTCCATGACAGCAGGCCGATCCTCTTCGGAGACAAAGAAACTAACAGCCAGCACCGAATGAAAGGAAAGAAGGAGTCAAAAAAGAGAGAAAGAGAAGAAAAAAAAAAAAAAAAAAAAAAAAAAAAAAAAAAGAACCGAAAGCAAAACAGGGAAAAGAACGGACAGCCCGATTTGGCAAACTGACACTGGATGGATACTACTTACTTCTTACTACTCCGTACTCTTACTTACCACCGACACCACCAACCTCCATCCACCAGCACCATCCGCGCCATCCGTTACCCCTGCTGTTTTCCCCAACCATCCTTCAAAGGGGGATTTTCCACAGGGTCCGGTCAGGTTCCATTATTCTTTCCCTCCCCAAAGTCTGATCCGTAGTTCCCCCGATCCATCAGAAAGGTTCAAGGGTCTCCATTGACACGTTGATGTTGCAGGTGTCCCCATTTCCAGGCTGGAGACCGGATCGATCTACCCTGTGGCGATCGCATTCCGATCCCTGCTCCACTATCCACCGCCATCACGTTACAATCGTCCGTCTCCGGATGAGGCAGCCTGACTTCCGTGCTCATTCTCAATGAGACATACCACTCTGGCCAGTCCCCCGTTCGGTCCTTGTTTGGTAGCGACCTGAAACCTCTCGTGATTCGAAACAGCTGTGCTCCCCCAGTACAAACTCTTTCCTCTCACTCATCCAGTCTCTGAGTGGGGAGAAAGACATGGTCTCAGACCTATTGACACATCGCCTAGAGACCAGTCGAATAATCGAATAGCAGGCGCAATGGAGATAAGAGAAGCAGGCCGCCATTTGATAGTGCCGTTCGTCAGCGTTTGATGGTCCCGGGAAGCGGCTGATGTCTAATCATCTACAGAACAAGTTTCCCTCCAGCCTGTCCTTGGCGAATTACGTCTCAAGAGGTAATGGAAAATAATAGTAAGACCTCATCGGTTGCGCTTTTAGGATTTTTTTCTTTTCTCTGCTCTCTTATTTTGATGTTTAAGGGAAAATCATCGGAGCCACATCTCTTCGATTCCATGGAACACTTCCGCGCCCAGAAGTCTATGCGCTGAGGGGCCAAGGTGCATGTCGTTCCTGAAAATGATACGGTCAGCACTCGATCAAGTCAATGGGCGCCAATCATAATGCCTTGTCCTTACCAGAACAGAAATTTCTCCGGACGGTCGCACTGTTGCGCGCCTGACGTCACCATCCATTGCTGGCTGCTTTGGACGCATGCGTCTTCAACATTCTCCCAACCGGGATCCTCGTTCTTCCCCAATCCACTCTCTTCCTCGATCCCTGCGGCAAAGAGTTGCCAGTCGCGAATCTGGTCGGCCAGAAAAGAGTTGGTGTCGAACAAATAAATCGTGCCATTCGACCAATCTTCGGCGTTATTGCGGAGTTCTCCGTTCCAATAGTCTGCGATCCTCACGGCATCTTTGTGCTTGGTAATCTGCGGCTGCCCCTGCGCTCTATAGGCCGGCAGGAAGGTTACATCTGGTGCTAATGTCAGGATGATCTTGAGGTCATTGCTGCCCCATGTCTCGGCCAGCAAATCCAGCTCCTCCATAATGACTTTGATATTGCGATCGACTGCATGGGATGCGTCCTCGTACGTCTTTGCCATTACGTTCCACAAGTCCCATACACCAAAGGAGACAACCACGATGGTGCGATTCTGACGCATGCCAACCGCAGTCGCATCCATCTCTCTCGTGGCTTCCGTCTCCGCCGCAATCCAATTGGCGACCTGAGCTTTCAGATCCGCCAATGGAGACTTGTAGAGGTTGAGTAAGGAACCCGACAGCTCCGTGTTATCCACCACAGAGCCAATGTAGTTTCCTCTCAGAGACTTGGCCGTCTCCGCTAAGTTTTCATGGTGACATGAGAACTAAGTCGAGAGATTAGCTTGCCACTTTGATCCAGCCAAGTAGCTTTCACACTCACCGAGTTACAAAGCCAGTCCGTCCATACAGATCCCTGAAGCTCGGCTGCATTGTTATCGCTCCACGAGTCACCAAAGACGACTAGGCGACGGTCGAAAGATGCCGTGGCGCGGAAATCCGACGAGGGCTCTTTTGTCAAGACTACCCGACGATAGTAATGCTGAGAGGCGAGAAAGGAGGCTGACAGGAGAATGCTGCACACAGCCAAGGCGCAGACCGCGTGAAATTTGCTAAAGAGGCGCATTGGGTCCGGGCATAAAGGACGGATACGAAGGGCGGAGGCGAGACAGCGAAAGCCGCTGGGCTTCGCAGGCGAAGCCGATAAACGCTGGGGGCGATCGGCGGCACTCTTTGTTGCGCGGTTGCACACAACGATGCTGAGAGTATACGTTTGACCAAAGGAAAACGAGAAGAAACCGAACAACGGAAAAGGAGGGGAAATGAGATAAGACGGAGACGCCGTACGTAGTGATCTGCGGCGAGATCAAGCAAGAACTTCTTCCCCTAACAGAAGCACAAAAGACAGGATTACCTCCGGCAGTACCGTGCAAAGAGGAGAGACTAATAGCGTGCGATGGGGATGGTTGGCGCCAGAGTGGGGACTTGACTGGAGAACTCTGTCAGTCGGATGAAAACGAGAACCTGAGGGGAACGGATGCAGTAACAAGAAAAAGGAGACAATACCGAACAGTGCGAGAGTTGAGTGAGGAAACAGAAAATGTTCCCTGACCTGTCCACTACGATAGCGCGCTTGTGGCCATCTTTGCATCTGCCGTAAGGCTGTTCTTGTCCTGGCCTCTCGGACGTTGGCAGTGGCCGCGCGGCGACGTCGGAACGGTAACCAGTCGCGTGCTCTGGGTCTTTTGCGTCAGTCCCAAGAGTCCATCGAGCTTGGAAGAGGCGGTTTTGTACAAGGGCCAAGTCCCCATCAGTGGATCTCACTGGCCTTGCCCTCGTGGACATTTCTCTGTTCCAGCAATAGAAATGTCATCGAATCAGCAACGAACGTCTGTCGGAAAAGGCGGTCATATTCCCTGAACCCCCTTACTCGGATGTCATGAACAACACCCCTCCTCGGCCACTATCTATCTATCTAGTATCTACTACCGAAGGCGCAGTGTTGGTGGTGGGTAGTAATCAATCAACAATCAACCATTAATAGATAACGGGGGGGCCGCCTCTCCAAGACAGGCTGCCAGCTTTAGACTCCGACCTTCCGAACGGCCCAACTTGATCCGGATTGGTCTCCCGTCTTTGGCTGTCGGGAACGGAAGAACGCAATGTGCAACTAAATCCGAGTCAGCGAAAACGCCCTTCAAACTATACCTTTCTTCCTATATATCTGGGGCTTCTCGAACTTCTGGTTGCAACACATAAAGACGCACTTCGAAGAAGCTCCTTTCAAAGCTTTGCTGGTCGTTGTGATTCCGACCCGGACCAGTTCGGCACCTAATTGACTGACTAGATCTACTAATCCCCTATCGCCGAGACGCTCAGGGGTTGACTATAACTAACCCCTGGATGGCATCAACTACTCCGGACAATAAGCTCATTATGATGAAGAGTTCTTATTCTAAAAATCGCCCTGCATAATAATACGCATGTGCACCCTCTCAGTGCCTGGCTCCAAGTGCACACATCAGTCTACATGTGTTGCATTATAGGCTGCAGGACAGAGTCCGGAGTACGCAAAAAATAAAGGTCAGCTCGGAGAAAGGCCTATATGACGAGAGATGTGGCACCTAAGGCGCAACACGGTGGCTCCCCGAATTTGCCCTGTTGAAGCTTAGGAGACACTCTACTCAAAGCTAGTTTAGGGGTTTGGTTACTGGATATGGTCAATAGACTGTTCTAGCTGCTGACTGTTGGATGCGTAAGGTCGCGGCCAGAGACAGGTATGGTTATCAGACATGGATATGGAAGACTCCGATCTGTTGGAGATATTTGACCCCAATTTTGCCTACTGTATACACGGGGTCGCAGGGATCACACGAAGGTCAGGTGACCTAATACACGCTTCCGCTTTAAGAACAGAACCTTCACCTGTCTTTTGGATGAAGTAGGTGCATCGTGGAATACGAGCATCAGCGCGTAACCAAAACCTTAGACGTTGTTTTTAACACAACAACTTGATGGTATCCTCAAGCATACACAGGCCTAGCCTCGTAGTTCCCGAAAAGGCAAAGGGGCAAGTCAGGTGCCGGAAGTGCTGACATAAGAGCCCTACCGAGGACGCTAAGTCCAGAAGGGTTAGTGGACTTAGTCAGCCGCCCACACAGGGAAATCTCGCTACACCACCAAAAAAATCCCACGAAGAACGAATCCCCGACGACCTGAACCTCCTCGACCTGTCGACAAACCGCGCCCTCCGTCTTGACCGCGCAGACCCGTCAAGATGAAGCTCAACATCTCCTACCCGGCCAATGGGTCTCAGAAGATCATCGAGGTTGACGATGAGCGCAAGCTCCGTCCCTTCATGGAGAAGCGCATGGGAACCGAAGTCAGCAACCCTCCCCCCTTGGATATCCGCCCCCCGAAAACACCACAGTTGGAAAAGAGACGAAAAATGGGAAATACACGCAAAATCATGGGAAAAGCAGAAGACTGATTGGGGTTTCTTTTATTGCTATAGGTTGCCGGCGACTCTCTCGGTGACGAGTTCAAGGGTTACATCCTCAAGATCACCGGTGGTAACGACAAGCAAGGTACGACTGGATTGCTTTTCCCCTGTTATTTCGGATTTGGGCTCGACTAGGAGGACTCGAATACGAACAGGAATCTTTGGATATCATGGTTAAGAATGAACATTGGATGCTGACTTTGACGCTCTTCACAGGTTTCCCCATGAAGCAGGGTGGTATGTACCGACCGACGCAAATATAATCCGACAAAATCACAGCAGAAACTCATCGATTTGTGTGCAGTTCTCCTCCCCACCCGTACCCGCCTCCTCCTTGCCGATGGCCACAGGTAAATGCGACCTGCCGATATTGGAGTTTACGAAATGGAAGACTGATGTCCGCTGCAGCTGCTACCGCCCCCGCCGCACTGGTGAGCGCAAGCGCAAGTCCGTCCGTGGTGGTAGGTTTTACCCAACAACAATATATCCGTTATTACCCTCCGAGTTGATCCGTTGACGCTTCGTTTCTACAGCCATCACCGGTCAGGACCTCGCTGTTCTTGCCCTGAGCATCGTCAAGCAGGGTGAGGGTGAGCTCCCCGGTCTCACCGACACCGTTGTCCCCAAGCGCCTCGGCCCCAAGCGTGCCACCAAGATCCGCCGCTTCTTCGGTCTCGACAAGAAGGACGACGTCCGCAAGTTCGTCATCCGTCGTACCGTCACCCGTGAGGGCAAGCCCGACTACACCAAGGCCCCCAAGATCCAGCGTCTGGTTACTCCCCAGCGTCTCCAGCGCAAGCGCCAGCGCATTGCCCTCAAGCGCCGTCGTGCTGAGGCTGCCCGCGAGGCTGCGTAAGTGCACCCTTCCCCCTTTGATGGGACATGCACCTGAATGTATGAAATGAACATCCGCTAACGATGCATGCGATACAGTAACGACTACGCCAAGCTCCTTGCCAGCCGTGTCCACGAGGAGAAGGCCAAGCGCGATGAGCTCCGCAAGCGGAGAGCGTCTTCGATGAGGAAGTAAATGTGTTTGTCCGCGGGGGTTAATGGTCGGGTTACGTCTCTGTTCTAGCTAAGGGAAAAAGGGTATTATAGAAAGAATCTCAAGCAAATGGGAAGGGGGATTTTTTTTATATCCACCCATTTTCTCTTTTCCTATCTTCGAGTTCCGAAGCAGAGCGACCCAAGAACAAAAAGCTCCTTGGTTTGGGGAGGGAGAGATATTGAGAGAGAGGAGAGAAGTCGTCTGCAGCGGACCGAGAGACTTTGGCGTGCCGATATTGTCTGATCCAACCAACACATCAAAACCAAAAAAGGAAATGCTATATCTCTCCACAATTTTTATGGAAATGAAAGGGATTAAAAAATGTGAAAGAATTTCTTCGTTTTTTTCTTTACACACTTTTTTATTCTAGATGGCCTTGCGACCATTATCCCTTCCCCTTCCCTGGCACGATTATAAAAAGACATACCCATGGACTCCGGTTCTCCGCAGATGATTTCTTCTCTTATGTGCGCTGCTTGTGAATGAAATGAAACTTCTTTGTATTCCAAAATTTCAGTTGGTGTTTTTTTTTTCTTTTCTTTTTGATTTATTCCCCTGCGTAGTGTGATCTGGATGATTACTTATTACTTGGACCCTACTGTGTTAAAACCTAAAATTTGTCCCAATGTAGCCCAGCCAGTGGATTGATTGATTATTGTGTGGTCAGTACTTCTTTTGTGTACCCACAATTATTCTTAACCCAAGATCCCACTAGCGATCGTTAGTCAAGTGCGGAGTAGACACAGACACTGTTTTCTAACTGCACATCCAGCATACACAATCCCACTTTATGTCTTGGTGTATATAGCGCGTTCATTATTTCTCATCAATTGTCATCATGGAGGTATAATCTACATAGACCGGTGAATCAAACCTCCGCCACTCAGCAGTGCAAAATGTATACTTCAGGTACGGGCACCCAGGGCTAAGTACTGATATTATAGACATTAGAGCTACTACTAGGCAGGTGAGGTCAAACCCCGCTAGTAGTAGTAACACCCATCTAGTACTATCTTTGGGTAGGTATTTACTACATAGTAGCAGGAAGGTATGCTAGTGTTATTGGTATTACAAAGTTTGAGAACATGAAGACCGGCATTACTTACCTAGCCACCTATTAGTATCAGGTATATACTACCACTGTAGTATGACAAGATAATATAACACAGATTGAAACATTATTCTCCCCACCTCATAACAATCAACTACCTACTAAATCTATTTAATACAGCAAGACGGTAAGTACTACCCTTCAGTATAATTTTACTGCCTGCGCGGTATTTATCCATAGTACCGCTAACCACTCGTACTGACTTTTCCAAAATCAAACAATTAAATCAGCCACCAAACCCATTGTTTCACAATTAATTAAATACACATCAATAGCCTAGAAATCAATAAAGAGTTACTCCTTAGCCACCTACGAACCTACCTGGTACTGACTTTGTTTAATCCCAGAATTGAACCTACACCAAAACTCAATATACGAAGATTAAGAAGTAAGTATATATTTGACAAGCGTATGATGGATCCAAATGCCTCAAGGCGGAACGGTGAGGGAAATAAAGCTGTTATTCTTCTTTCTCCCATCGGTCTTAGGTGATCACTGCTACTAGTATTAACTACTATTTACTATAACTAGTAGTCATGTCAAGCTTCTTCAATGTGATTGATACCAAATATAACATCATCTTAACAATATTAAGTAGTAGTAGTAGTAGTAGTAGCATATTACTCCTCAATGAGAAGGACTCTGCTCTACCTCCATAGTATTCTCATATAGCACTAGCAGTAAACTGCACTAATACTAACAGCAATTAACCTCCGTCAAATAACCACAACTACCAAGAAAACAGAAAAAGAAAAACAATCAACGGACGACAAAAAGCCAACTCCCCCGCCTCGCCTACCTTATTATTGATTACTCTGGGAAACTCTCTCCGCTCCATTACTCTCCGTCAGGGTACTTTTGCATTGTGAGCTACTACTGGTAACATACTAGTATTTGTAGGAAACATAAAAATTACCACCATGGGTACTTATGGCATGAAGTCAATATTGGAGTGCAAAAAAGCAAGCATACTTATTAGTGCAACTGATCAGTAAGGGATAGATGGATGATGGATGAATAGCATGCTGACAAGTCCGACTACTACTTAGTAGTACTGATTAGAGCCGGAAATATAAACCTCGGAACTGAATGTACGACTTGCAGTAAGATCGATTTAGGGCTAGCCCGGGTGCATTTTACTCAACTAGCTGATACTATCTCCGAGGTTAATTTGACGACTGCGAATGTTTATTTCGTAGTTTCTGTACCGATAAGTCCGTGTAGTGTTTTTTGAATCTCAGTATTTCCAACGTGACTATATCTATATTTAAGCGTAGGACGGAATCCAATTCAGATGGCAATCTATTGTATCAGTAAAATTCACATGTGATCCGCTCACAGTAAAGAAGAATAGTACATCATCAGAATGAAGACGACCAAGGGGAGAAAAAAAAAGAGAAACCCGTTGATATATGTACAGTATAAGTGCTTCAATTCAGCTGGTAATAGAAAGCAAAAAGGCGCCGCCGACTTTTTCATATCTCCCTTCCTTTCCACCTTCTCAAAGGTCCATAAGCTTCATAACCGGTAAATGCGTTAAATATAGTTTGACAGACGGAGGCGCCTACCCCGGGAATTCCGTGGCTAAAGAGTCCTAATTTCATGATCTAGGCCCTCCTAGAGGTATCCGACTACGCACGACAATAATAAAAAAAAGAAAAAGCAAATGTGAACCGCCTCCAGATAGCGGCATGTCCATCTTGTCCTCCATCACTGCCATGTGCCCTTACTAGTCGTTTAGGCGACAGCGTGCGAGAACAGGAAGCTCACAGACTCGCCGTTGTGCGTACGTCTGCAGGCCTCTGCAAGAGTGGGGCTGATGTCGATCGTCTCGATCTTATCGCACTGCTCCTTCTTGTCTTCGTGAGGAACAGTGTTGGTCACAACAACACGGCTCAGGCAGCTGTTGTTGATGTTCTGAGTAGCCTTGCCGGAAAGGATACCGTGGACGACAATAGCGTTGACTTCCTTAGCACCGTGCTGCATCACAGTATCGGCGGCCTTGACGAGAGTACCGCAGGTATCAGCCATGTCGTCAACGATGATAGCGATCTTGTCCTTAACGCTACCAACGAGAACCATGCGCGAGACCTCGTTGGGGCGGGGGCGCTCCTTGTGGATGAGCGCGAACTGGAGATCGAGGCGGTCGGCGATGGCAGTGGCACTATTCAAAATTGCCCATTAATATCGACTTGCAATATATCAAGCACCCAAAAGAATCAAATTCACTTACCGCTTAGCACCACCAGCATCAGGACTGACAATGATACAGTTGCTCACATCCAGGTGTTCGCGGATCCACTTCAGAATGCTAGGCTCAGCATACAGGTTATCGACGGGAACGTTGAAGAAGCCCTGGATCTGGCTGGCGTGGAGGTCCATGGTGATGACGTGGTTGCAACCAGCAGTCTGGAGCATGTTTGCCATAAGCTTGGCGGTGATAGGAGCACGGCTCTTATCCTTCTTGTCTTGGCGCGCATAAGGGAAGTTGGGAATGACGGCGGTGATACGTCTTGCGGAAGCGGTCTTGCAAGCATTGATCATGATGAGCAGCTCCATCAGTCCATCGTTGATATCATTGGGCCGCGTCGACTGCAAGATGAAAACTGCAGGGTGCACACATTAACCCGAGATCTTTTGCGGGCCTGAGTCTGAGCAGGCGGAGTGGACAACAATACCATCCTCATCTCGTACACTCTCTCCGATTGTGACACTGGTTTCCTGGTTCGAATATTGGAGGACCATGATCTTGGTCAATTCAATGCCAAGCCTGTCAATTGAAACGGCTCGTTAGTCCATGGTGTACTGCAAGGGTGCAGAAATAGTCCAGAACTATAGCGCATACCGAGCTGCCACAAGGTTTGCAAGCTCAGGGTGACTGTTACCAGTCAAGAGCTTGATCGAGTTCGAAGCCATTTTTGGAGATTGAAGCGAAACCGGAGGAGGGGTTCAGGTGAGAGCGGCGCGTGCGACCGGACAGGTGTAGAGGGGAGAATGATTTAATGATTGAGAAAGAAGTGAAGAAGAAGTTAGAGAGCAGGAATTAGCATGCCTGAGAGATAGGAAACGCCCATCGACCGGAGAGAGAGCAGCGGATTGAAGAAGTTGAGATTCGAGCCGATGCCCCGCCGGCAGGTGACTTTTTCGCCCAGCAGAAAAAAGTTGCATCCCGTGACTCCCCGGATCCACCGCCCCTCACCGCCTCCAGACTACGGAGAAGCACCCGGCTGACTAACCGCGCATCGATGGCTGGATAAGGACTTGAGAGTGGGTGAAAGAACGAGAACATTGACTGGAATTTTCTAAGTAATTGACACATAGCTGAAATAAGTACATGCTGCTGCAATTTGCAAAGTAAAACATAGAAAAAATGGAAATCTCCGAACCGATCCCCAGCATTCCAGTTGACCTGCACTTCAACTGGTCTGCCGGTTGCGGTCCATTTCCTACCACAACCCCCATGCCTTTGGTAAGGTACAAACTAGCTGAAAATGAAGATGTGTCAAACGCCATAATATGCTTCAGCATTGAGTCAAGGACACTGCGAGTGAAAGTGGGTTAACCCCCAAATCATCATTTACGCAATAAGGGATATTAGCGCCACCATTTTATGCAAACCCGAAATATTCACTGCCAGCCGTCATCGCAGTGTAAAGACGTTGCCGTAATGTTTCGTAGCTCTCATATTCTGGAAGATCCAGCTCTGTGCCACATAGTTAGCAAGCTGTGCCATATAGACAGTCCCGGACATTGCTGGTGTACTTACGGTTGAAACAAGTATGAGAACTTGGGAGACGATCCTTGTTGCCGTAATCACGGTGGATGTTGAAACGGCTCACTCCGTTCATGCCCTCGAGTTCCTTGAATCCATTCAGAGGCACCTTGCTAGTACCCGTAACGAACTGCAGAAGCTTGGCGCGTTCTTCCTTATCGAATGAGCGGACAGCGCGCCAGAACCACTGAATTTGGGGTGAGGAGGCCGAGTAGTTATGATACTCCGTATTGACCTTCCAATCATCCACTTCGATTTCGGGGAGACCGGAAATTAGCAACTCGAGCTCTTGCTCGTTGAAGATAGAGATCAGATCGGAGGGGATGATCTCATGGAATCCTGGACAGCACGTATTAGCCACATACTCAATAGTCACGCGGAAATGGGACCAAAACATACCTTTCAGGAAATTGTCCAGCTGCTCCTTGACGGAGCCGACCAAACGATAATCGACGACCCGTTGAATGTATTCCTCCTTATTTTCTTCAGTGACAGGAATATTACGTCCATTCTCAATGAGATCGATCACTTGTTTCTCTCCAAAGTCATCCGTCTCGACAGCGAAGGTCTCAGTAATAATGTCAGTAATGTCGTTTTCGAGCATCCAGAGAAGGGACTTGTAGTAGTCAAGGTCAAGCGTCTCCATATCCTTGATGGATACTGACCGACCGAGGATGCACTTGTAGACCGCACGGCTGAAATGGCAGTCAAGAACACGTCCCTCGTACAGGGCCTTGCCGATGATACGTCCAATGAACTTGAAGAACATCAAATGCTCGGAGTTGACACCACTCAGACGGTTCGGGTGGAATGTAGTCCTGTCCGAAGCAACCGGGATGAACAGAGCGTAGTTGGGGTTGAACATGCCACGCGCGAGAACTTGGAACCATTCTCTAGTCACACCACCGGCATCGACACCCTCTTCACCATGGAAGCGCACGTTCAGCTTGCCATATTTCAATTCGTCTGCCGTCTTGAAATACAAGGACTTGAAGGAATCCAAGAAGACTTGGTCACGTCTAACAGACAGCTGAAGAGGTGGGTGGGGGTGACGAGGCTCAGCGCCACGGGAATGAATGCGACGAGTAAAGTAGTTGCGCTTGTTGTCAAACTCTAGAACCTTGGGGTTCTTGACCAGCAGCGAGAAAGTGCCACTCATCAACCGTGGGTTTTGCCGCACAAGCTCATTGAGAATCTTGCGGTGTTCCTCTGTGAACTTGAAGAAGAGGCTTTCCATGCTGAGACCAGCGTCAACGGAAGTGGTCGACACAGACAACTCCCTACTGTTCCGGGCAAGAGAGGTATCCTTCAGCGTGGTATTCTTGCAAACCACCATTAATGCTTCGATCAAAGGCAGGAGTATAGTTGCGACGTTGAGCATGTTCTCCTTCTGTCGAATAACGGTCAAGCATTCGCTAAGTCTGGTCCACAGAGGCCCGAAAGTAGAGCATTCGTACAACGTTTGTAGAACATCTTCCTTAGCGGCATTGTCAGGCTCAGCTCCCTTCACCTTGTCCATCCGAGAAGGATCAAACAGGTAATCGAGAGCCGTGAGCACGCGCAATAACTTAGCCTGATCAGAACTGGCTGGCGAAAACTTAGCCAAAGCTAGACCCTGCATATCGGTACCGGTACGAGCCTGGTGAATGTGCGACAGCAATTCATCAAGATCAGTGAGAATAACAGTGCTCAGAGTTTGAGCCTGGCTGACCAGCTCGTTACCGATCACGTCCCTAGCCCCGGGCACAGCGGAAAGGTTGTTGATGGTGGAAAGTGTGTCCCGGAATGTCTTTCCGTTGCATTCACGAGCGGCGAGGATATGGACGACCAGCTGCAAGTTGTGATCAGGGACAACTGGTGGTTCGATGGTTCTTCTCTTGTGCTTCTCTTCTTCAGCTGCGGTCTTTGCTTTCTCTTCCTTGGCGGCTTCCGATGGTTCCGTCTGCCCTGGCTGAGCAGTTTCATTTTGCGGTTGCGTGGTCTCGACGGTGGGAAGCGGTGCATCTGTCATTGTCGTGTCCGTGGCAGATCCCGTCTGATCTGCCGGAACAGGTTGCTGCTGTTCCTGTTCTTCAGTCGGTCTCTCTTCCTGCGCCTGGTCGGGCTGCTTGCCCTTAGCCTTCTCCTCTTCCTCCTGCTTTTCCTTCTCCCGACGGAGCAAAAGTGTAAGAGGCTGTGTGATACTGCTTAGAAGACTTGATAACTGCTCCATGCAATTAGGGTTCTCCATGATCAACTTCCGGTCCAGCAAGGTTAACAATGCATTAAGAGCGAATTTGTTAGCCCTATTCTCCTTGCCCTTGCCCTTGCGGAGAGCCTTCAGCTTCAGGGCCGGGGAAGAGTCATGCTCGGTCAAGAAGAACCAAGCAATGTGAGGGTTGTACTGCGATAGGAAAGAAAGAGTTCCCAGGCACTGCTGTACAACCATAATCGGAGTCACTTCATTGCTCACATTCGAAGACCCCTGGAATGACAAGTTCCGTTTGACGGACTGAGGGGTTTTCTGAACCGACGAGGGCTTAGCACGGAGTGAGAGCTGAGCAAAACTGCGTTCGATCGCCGAGACATCTGCACTACCGTCCTGAAGGACAGATAAGAGAAGGCTAATGACCTCCATCCTGTTCTGGCGGTTCTCGCACACGTTATGGAGAATGTCGTTCAACTGGTGGCGCGCGTTGCCTTGGAGAGGCATGAACATCAGACGCAGTAGCGTAGCGACGCCGGCCTTGTCCAGCATCTGGACAATCTGACGTCGTTGTTGCTTTTTAGGCTCTTGATCGTCGGCTGGCTCACGTCGGTGACGGTGGTCGACCCGAGTGATATCGCCGAATTGTGCCAATCGTCTGCCTGGCAACGCACGAGCTTCGGAAAGGAACTCTGGACCCAATGTTGCCAGGATTTCTTCGGGCTGATCAGCCAGAACAGCTTGACGTAAGGATGGGTCTAGCGTAGCCAGGAAACTAGCAGGGTCCATCTCTTCTGCATGAACTGGAGCCGGAGCCGGAGCTGCTGCACCTGCAGTAGCAGCAGCTTGTCGGCGAGCACTGTCACGCTCCCGGCGACGACGATCGGCCGCTTCTTGCTGCAGCAACTCCTCCCGGATCTCTGGAGGCAAGGCTTCCAAGAACTCTGGATTAATTTCACTGGGCTCTTCGCCAGCAGCAGCAGCCTGGGAACGTTGTTCTGCGAGCTGCTGCATGATGACTTCCTCTCTCAACTCTTCAGGCAAGGCTTCCAGGTACTCCGGATCAATTTCCATGCCTGTGATGTCAAGTTGACGGCCTCTGATAGTTGTGTGCACGCGGGGAGCAGGTTCTGACGGGCCTGCATCAGTCTCGGCTGCCGGTGCTGCGGCCTCGTTGCTGGTGTCTGTCCGCTGTACATCATCCATGGGCTCCGTCTCAATACCGGACGCTTGTCGCTCTGCTTCCTGACGTTCCAGTTCTTGCTGCCGTCTGGCATTCTCCTCCTCTTCCTTGCGCTTTCTCTCTTTCTCCTCCTCTTCCCTGGCGATGCGCTCCTGACGTTCACGTTCTGCGCGTTCTTCTTCACGCCGCTTTCGCTCTTCCTCCATCTGCTTCTCCCGTCTCTTTTCTTCCTCAATCGCAGGGGGCACCAAGATCTTCAACAGGGAGTTGACCACACGCTGGGTCTTCTCAACGTATGCGCTGCTGAACAGAATGCGGGCCTCCTCTTGCCAACGGCTTCTGGTTGTAGCTAAGGCAAAGCTCACGGCTTGGGAAGGATCATCGCGAGTACGGGAAGGAGGAGCTTGGGGCCTGCCAAGGCCGAAGATGTCTTGTATCCGGTTAGGCATTGCACGTCTGTCAACATGGACGTGGATACCATCGGGACGGGTGATGACCCCAAATCCTGGGCCCCCTTGTCCGCCAATAGCCTGCAAAACTGCGTTCATGAAGCTAACAGGACTATCCATAGGAAGCAGACGTCCCGTCGATACGGGCTCCATGCCATGAACCCAGTCGGTGAAAGCTTCATTGCCAGGTACGCGGGGCTGACCACTTGTCTCGGAGCCACGGTCTGTCCGAACAAGAAGAGGGTTGGTCCCGTCATCGTTTCCACGGGCCGGGATTTGAGTTCTATGGAGCCGGTAAGGCTGAATGGGAACGATACCGTGCCGACT